TTATGTCAATTTTTTATTTTTTATTTTATTTTATTTTTTTTTTTCTGTATTATATGCTATACAGAGGGACTGAGACAGAGGAACAGATCCAGAAAAGGCTCAGAAATGCAAAGGCAGAGATGGAACAGGGAAACTCACCGGGACTTTTTGATCATATCTTGGTTAATGACAACTTAGCGACGTGTTATGAGAATCTTAAGGTGAATCTTTTTTTTTCTTCCTTTTTTTCCATAATTAATTTAAACTCTTCTTCCCTCTTCACGTTTCTCAATATTTTTTTTTTCTGAATTCGAAATGAATCGTACTTCTAAAATCTTTGCAGGAAATTTTGGGCCTCAGCGATGCAACCAAGACTAACAAGATATCAGGTAACTTTTAGTGTTACTATAAGGTGAATTATGAAAGTTAGCCTAATTACTGATCTTATGGAGCTTTGTTTTGAATATAGTGCCAGAGTTGGTTCGTGTTCCTTTGAAACATACGGTCTCCAAAAATGATCAGCAGATCATAATAAGCTGTACTGCTCAAAAACAAGAAAAGTCGGATTTAAAAATGTACGCTTATCCGAAACCATAAACACATACATCGCAATTTTTACAATTTTTTTTCTTTTCATGTTTTTATTTTTTCCTTCCCTAAATCCTCGAACGGGTTTTGCTTGTAGGTTTGTGCTTGATACATCTTCTATCAAAGGTGGGGCACCGGGTCGGACGAGGGGTCTGAATATTTACACAGCCGAGCTTCCCAATAATGGTGATATCGGTTCCCATATGCCGAGCTAACAGTTCAAACTACTCAAACTAACAACATTTCATTTTATCACAATGTTCCTTATTTCCTTTTCTAAACATGAGATTCTAATTTACCTCCTGAGCCTGAGGGGATATCGAGACGATTCGAGAAATTACGGTAGGTTCGGTTTTAGGGGAGGTAACAATTTTATTTACTCTTGGTTCTTATGATGAGGGAAAGAAAGAAAAAGAAACAAGAAAATGATGGCCCTCTCTTATGACATGATATAAAAAGTGGAATGATGATGATCTGATCTTTTTCTTCTGCATTTCCATATTCAGCATATCATCTCTTTTGGCTGATTTTCTTGGTCTTTTTTTTTCAATTGGTGGCCTATGATTGGCTTCTTTTTTTGCTCAAGTTTGTTTGCTTTTGATGGGGAAAGATGCTTTTGGTCTCTATAGCAAGATGAATTATTTTAGCTATTTTGACCATTTAGTGCACTTTATTTGCTTGCTGAAAGATTTGGGACTGATACACCACATGAAAGTGTCTAGTCACTCACATCTGTTTTTTGCTGGCCAAATATCTTCATCATTTTTAACAAATTTTGGGGTTCTACTTTAAGACTTTTTGTGTTTATTTAATAAATAAAATCTTGTATGAGACAACATAAAATCGTTAGGCTAGTCTACTCGTCATATTATTTGAACAAAAGTACGTAATTATATTATCAAATGCCAATCTATATTGTTTTTCAAAGTATAAGATGAAGTATAGTTTTGGTCTTTATTAGAATATTCATTTGTGAGTTGTTCCACATCTTTTATCTAGGAAAAATAGGTCTAATTTATAAGTCTAGTGGTCTACTCCTCTTTCCACCAATTAATTTTAAAATGGAACATCACTTGGGCTTCATTTGGGCTTTGTCGTTATAGTGCGCACTACGTGTGTGCGACTGCACCCGTTTTCTTCCCGTTTCTTACCGTCCTTAGTCCTACATGACTCATATTGGTTGTCATGTGGCATTCATGAATGGAAATGGGACCACTCTTAGCTGCTATATTTATAAGGAGAATCTTGAATTATTAAACACTGTATTAGATTCTCCTGTCCAATTGTCTTTTGATTGGCCATGAGAAAATGTGCCAACATCTCTTCCTTCTTTTTATATTTTTCAGATTCTTATTCTTATGTGAATGTTATATAATTGGCAATGATTTCATATAGAAAATATAGTAAAATATCGACTGCAACTATGATGTGCTATGCGTGATTTGGAATTTGCAAAGTATATATACTATTTTTCTTGATAAAATGCAATCTAAACTTTTTGAATATTCACATTGTTATACAAGACGATCAGGACCAGTGGGACATTCTTTTTGTCCCACATTGGGTTGAATACACGACTTCTCGGGCTTATTGTGCTGCTGTAGCTAACGAACTGCAACGAGGCTCGTATCAACCCAATATCGGCGATATATCGTAGATCATCATATATTATTCCTTTTTTTTAAAAAAAAAAAAAACTGGCTTTGAATCTGCAAATTAGTAAGGTGAACAAAATTCTACTCTAAACTATAGATGAGTTCATCAAGTATAAACCGAACCGAAATCACGCAAAATATTAGGAACCTGCATGGTTTTTTGTGGCCCTTATACATGTTTATGTGTGTGTCTTAAAAATTTTAAAATATATGGTAATTCAAATAGAATCATACGGATTCAAAGATGAGTCATAAAAATAAAGAAAAAAAAAATTAAAGTTGGGCCACAAAGGAAGCTGTGCTAATACGCGAAACAAGAGAACATTCATGTAATAGTAACATAAAGAGGAAATTGCATGCCATACGGTCATGCTTAAACTATTTATCACTTTTGTACCTCTTTTATTTTTTATTTTTAAATCACCTAAACCACATAGTAATAACTTTTCAATTATACCTAAAAACCTGTTTTTCCGTTATTAATGGTAATGATATAATTAAATCCAATTAATTATCCACTTACCAAAAAAAGTGGAACTAAAAAGTAAAGATAGTTATCCCACAAACCCACGTATCCCTTCATCTTCTCCAACCTCTCAGCAGTTTCGCCGATTTCAAAATTCTCACAACAATGAAATCATAAATTTCAATTTCTTCTTCCCGCACCCGTATAAGGCATCCGACAACGAGGTGGGCGTCGGTCGGCTTGCGAAGGTCGCAGCCCATTGGAGGTCGGGACCCGTCGAAGGTCGCCGAATAGAGCTCGAAGGTGAGGTCGCCAGTTGTCGAGGTTTGCAGATCGCCGGTTATCGTCTATTTAAAACAAAAAAAAATTGAGATTTTTTTTTTATTTTAACGTGTATTTTCGGTTTTGATCTTTTTCAGCAAAATTTGTGTAAATATTTGTTGGATAAAAAAGCGGAGGGGATCGATCAGATTTTTGTTGAGGACGTTATATTTTACCGGAAATATACTGAAAACATAAGTAAAATATACCAGAAAAAACAAACTCGATGGCGGAGGGCGTCATCAACCGGCTAAAGCACGCACACTTGTTTCATAGGCGGGGGATGAATCTAGAGGTGTTCTTCAAGTACTTGTTCGGGGATGCTAATTTGCTATTGGATCCGAAAATTGGGTTAATTTTTCAGTATTACTGTTTTCGAGATGCACCAGTTTTTAGTTTTGTTTTGTCTTCTTCCGGTTTTAGTGTACTGACGGAGATTGAATCTCGAGTGTATAATTTAGGTATATTTTAGGTATATGTGGGTTCTGAAATCGTTTTTTGAGGAACGATTTAAACTCGAGTGTATATTTAAGGTATATTTTATGTATATGTGTGTCCCGAGTTTTTTCAGTTTTACTTTGCCTTCTTCTGCTTGTAGTGTAATTGTGACATTCTGATGGGGGGATTGAATCCCGAGTGTATATCTTAGGTATATTTTAGGTACATCTGTGTTCTGAAATCGTTTTCTGAGAAACGGTTGAAACTCGAGTGTATATTTAAAGTATATTTTATGTATATCGTAGGGTATATGTGGATTTATATCAAGTTTATGCTAAGTAGGTGTTGGTTTTATATCAAGTATATGATAGTGTGATATATTATTAATAAACCAATTAGATACATATACTTTACAAAGTATATACTTATCATATAATTTGGGACATACTTGAGACATGGTTTAATTATGTAACAATTGGTATATGATCGGTATATTTCTAGTATATATCGCTGTCAGTGTGTCCAACATATTCCATTTTATCAACATATACTAATCCGGTATTATGTTTACATATACATAAAATATACTTTAAATATATTGTTAATAAAACGTGAAAGATATTGAAACATATATATAAAATATACTTTAAATATAATGTTAATAAAAAACGTGAAATATATCTTTTTTTTTTGGTACAGAAATATATTTTTTTAAACTATAAATATATTGTTAATAAAGTAAATTAAACTAGAAATATTTATGATTGTACCGTCTTTTTTTTTCTTTATAAAATTTCACGACCTCGTTTTTTCGGGTATATTTACTTATATTTTCAATATATTTCCGGTAAAATATAACGTCCTCAACAAAATTCCGAGAGAGAGACAGAGAAGGAAGAGGTAGTGGAGGAATTTTCTGTGTGGAAGAAGAAACGCCATTGTTGTACGACCTGGTCATCTGTCACTCCATAAAGTGGCCGTCACTCACCGTCCACTGGCTACCGTCGCCGCCCTCATCCGATTTTCTGTAGTAGGGTATATGTTCCGTGATTTTTTTTTTTCTTCCGTCGCGATTAACAGATCTCTTGACACTCTTTCTGATTTCAAACATCATATCGTTTCCATAAATTGAGGGATGATTCGAATTTGAATTGAAGGTTAGTTTTTTTTTTTTTTTTTTCTCCTGGTAGACATGGCGGAAATCACGAACCTTCAGCTGGGAGTAGTTATGTTACCTTGTAACTGATATAGATGCAATATAATAAATAAATTAGTTAGATTAGTATATTTGAAAATACTTTTAAATAAGGATAAGATTGAAAATATTTTATTATCTAGTAGGAGGTGCAAAAATTTCCCTAACATAAACAATAAAGAGAACCTGTTGAGGCCCAAAATATACACAACATAGTAATAGTAGTATTTACATGGATTTGCACTTGGCTGAAGCTAAATGAAATGGGCCAATGCATCTTGATATGAGGTAAATAGGGTCTTATGTGGATCTTATTGGTATAAACGGGCTAGTCTTTGAACCTGGCCCAAGCTAAATCAAACGAGGTGTTAATGAAAATTATACTTAAAACAAATAAAAATAAAATTTAGAGTTTCTTAATTTAAATTTAAATATTATTTTATCTAATATTACACCTATAACATGTAAGATTCGCTTGTCATATATTATAACTTTTTTTTTTTAAATTTTTATCATGATACTTTTGATAGATGAATTTAATTAATTAATTTTTTTTTATTGTTAAATTGTGATTGATGTTTTAAATTTTATATATGTAGATATAGTAATAAATTTTTATGTGGAATATGAATATTGTCATAGTTATGACAACATAACTAATTCGATGTATTGTATGTTAAAATTGTTAACGAAAATTTAAAATATATTTATAATTTAAGTGAATCTTGGTTGGTTTATAATTTTATAATCTTTTAATAGAGGTTAGGGAATAATTATGTGCCTTCAAATTAATGATTTATATTAGTTTAGAGATAAACCTATATATATGTTCCACACACTTTTTCAGCTGTTGGCGGCTGTGTATTCAGTCGTTGGTTGATGTGTATTTGCACATTTGTGCATTTTGATTTATAATAT